CACACTTTTATGATATATTTTTTTTTAACATTCATACTTTTTCTAATATTCTTAACAAATATATATTTTTATATTTTTGTGTAACATTTTTGTATTGTTCAGATGCTATTTTCTTAACATTTTCATATGTTTCATTTTACGTATTTGTATTTTTTTGCATTGTATTCTTGTTTATTTTTTAAAAATATTTGTTTTTGTTGACTTGTTTTCTTTTTTTGTAATATTTTTATTTTGTCAAATGTTTTTGTGTCCTAATTTTTTAGTCAATTAGCATTTTTCTCATTTTTGTTTTTTTCAACTGGTTCGGTTTTCTGGTATTTCGGTTACCTTTTGCGCAAATACTTCTGCAATTTTTCCTAATCCGTTCACATTTTTTCAAATAGTGTATTTTTGTCAAATGTTCATGTATTTTATGTGTAATATTTTTGTATTGATCATTTAGTATCTTCGGATCGAAATGTTCGTCCTGTTTTGTTCCCTCATGCAAAATTTGCCTCAGAATGTGTAATAGTAATATATGTTGCGCTACCTGACAGTGTGACTTCACACTCATTGTGCGGGTGTGTGTGTGTGTGTGTGTGTGTGTGTGTGTGTGTGTGTGTGTGTGTGTGTGTGTGTGTGTGTGTGTGTGTTTGTTTTCTTTCAGGGCCATCCTTTAAGCAGAGTTGCTGCAAAGCCCAGAAATCCCTCGAGTTCCTCCCAATCAACCTGCACACTCAGAGGATGAGGGTGACGTGCCCCAGAAAGACGGGTTCGTACAGCCTGGCTCATGTTTATTTATTATTTGCGTTACTGACTTTACAAGCATCACCTCACATGCTCCGCCGCTTTTAATTGATAGCGTAACCTCGGAACGAAACCAACAGGCAGCGTTGCAAGGCGGCTTTCATATGACACATGCTCGTGCCGACCTTGCGGAGTCATTAGAGTTTCGAGTTTTATGGCAAGACAAACTTTGTCGCTGTGTTTTCCTCATACATAATAACAGAAACAAATTCTTTTTAGGTGTTTGCTGCTGTTGACTGTACGCAACGGGTGTCAAACTCAAGGCCCGAGGGCCAGATCTGGCCCGCCATATCATTTTCTGTGGCCCGCGAAAGCAAATCAAACATACTGACTTCTGTGATGCTTGCTAAAATTTTTACCAAACTTTCAAATTCTCATATGTAATAAATAAGATACATATTATCAGCATTTTCTTCCCTAAAAATAATCTGTGAAATGGCAAATTGGCGACTGTTCCCAAACATATTAATTAGCACTTCTTATCCCTAACAATGAAGCGCATGAAGAAGAGCGCACTTTACTCAGCGTCGTTCTGTTTTGCAGACGCGTCGTACGACATTGTCACGGCGGGCGCCCCCGCTGCACACTTCCAGGGCTTCAAAGCCGGCGGTCTGCAGCGTCTCCTCGGCAGATACGAAGCCGAGAAGAAAAGGTACAGTGCCTCTCTCCCATGAAGAGTATGAATAGTACTGTATGCTTGAAACGGTCTTCATTTTTGCATTTAAAAAAAATGGAAAAATGGACAGTTTTCAGATGGAGCTAGGTATCAGTTCCACAGAAATAAACACAAATAGGTGAATTTGTGAAGAGAGACATTTTTGGATTTGTCTTGGAAGACAAGGGTTGTGAAAAGAAAATGTGCACAAACACCTGCTTGACCTGTCGAACCAAAATTACCGGTAGTTGGCATGTCTTATACACCGAAAAGTCTCAAGGACCTCGACATCAAAGGGAAACAGAATTCTGAGGGATTGCGCTTTGAGTCACACCCATCAAAACCGACTGTGGGTCCAAATGGTCAAACAGTATCCTGAGCCCAGGAAGGGTCGCCAACCCGTTGTACTCGATGTTTCTATTTTCGCGCATGCCCCAAGACCAAAAAGCAATTACTCGAAAGAGGCCACCAATGTGATTTCCTCCAACCTGAAAGATGAGCACTCCCGGCCCGTTTGGACGCAGAGTCGAGCCATGTGTCGCCGTTGTTCCCAGTGTGGTCACTTGAGTGATGCCAGAAAAAATGAAGGGTGATTTATTTTTTTTTCTTTCTCCCCTCACTGCCCAAGCTCCCCGTAGATCATAAAACCATTACAGTCCATGCCAGATCCAATTAGCGGTGGACTTTGCAGCAGCACCACACCAGGAGTGGACTGCAAGGAAATGAATGCAGAAAAGGACTTTTTTTTTTTTTTTAAGCCATACATACAGTGCCTCTCTCCCGTGAAGAGTATGAATAGTACGGTCTTCATTTTTGCATTTAAAAAAAATGGAAAAATGGACAGTTTTCAGATGGAGCTAGGTATCGGTTCCACAGAAATAAACACAAATCGGTGAATTTGTGAAGAGAGACATTTTTGGATTTGTCTTGGAAGACAAGGGTTGTGAAAAGAAAATGTGCCCAGACACCTGCTTGACCTGTCGAACCAAAATTAGTTGGCATGTCTTATACACCGAAAAGTCTCAAGGACCTCGACATCAAAGGGAAACAGAATTGCAAGGGATCGCGCTTTGAGTCACACCCATCAAAACCGACTGTGGGTCCAAATGGTCAAACAGTATCCTGAGCCCAGGAAGGGTCGCCAACCCGTTGTACTCGATGTTTCTATTTTCGCGCATGCCCCAAGACCAAAAAGCAATTACTCGAAAGAGGCCACCAATGTGATTTCCTCCAACCTGAAAGATGAGCACTCCCGGCCCGTTTGGACGCAGAGTCGAGCCATGTGTCGCCGTTGTTCCCAGTGTGGTCACTTGAGTGATGCCAGAAAAAATGAAGGGTGATTTATTTTTTTTTCTTTCTCCC